CTGCTAACTTGTTGGCAACTGTCGATAGAATGGGGATGGGACCTTATGGGTGGTTGTGTTCAGCACCATCTTTCTTGTGTGATGTGTTGAAGGCTAATCTGATTAATGGAAACTTTGTGAATACAAGGAATTGCGTTTCTTGTTTTACTAAGATTAGTATTGATTAATTTGTTTTCCTAATATATTGTTATTGTTGTTTCTGTTTTGCTTTTATTTTTTTGTGAGTTTGGTGTGTTAGGTTGCAATTTTAGGTTTTTTTTAGTGTTTTTTTTATTTCGACTATTGGTGTTTGTACTTAATTTTTTTGATATTAATGAAATTGGCTTTCTTTTGAAAAAAAATAATTGTTCTTAAACTATTAACTTGAAAAAATTGATTAACGCTAGACAATTATAATAAGTTGATCAAGTATTAAGTATCTATCACATCTTATCTTCTTGTATTGGATTGGACCGATTTGATGAAACGTGGCTTATGTTAGGATAATCCCTCTAACTTGTTTTAACTTTCAATCCTTATCATGAGTCCACTTGGCCATCTTTAATCCAACCAATTATTGAGAGTCATGTATTAATGCATGAGAAAGGTTTAGTGAATTCTATTAAAAAGATATATTTCACTTTATTATGGTCTGTTTTTGTGTTTTACATTTCAAAATCCAACTTTTAAGTGGGTGTTATGTTTCTTTTGTAAATTAAAACAATCAGCAGTGCTATTGATTTAAATAGAGATAAATCTCCCTATACATTCAAGCATATACTCCCTCCCCTAAAAAATATAACACATTTTTAATTGAATCTCACATCTAATAAAGTAGTTATCTATTTTTTAACTAATTTTATCCTTTTATATTTACCCCTATTAAACATTCTACAGTAAATATAAACTTATTTTCAATAGAGGTATTTTTTAAAAAAAGACAATGATTACACCTCAAAAAACAAAAAATGTCTTATATTTTTAAATATCCAACTCCTCAAAAAATGCCTTATATTTTTGAATGGAGGGAGTAATTGTCATGGTTTTGCAGCTTCTCTTTTTCATATTTTTAACAAAAACGTATGAATAATTATTTATACACATTCAAATATTGGTAGAAATTTCAAAATTCATCTTAATTAAATAAAAAATAAAAGATGGTCAGTTATAATAACTTTGGGTGCCCAATGCAATCTTCTAGATGTTGAAAGGGTAAATTTTACTTTAAATAATTTTAAAATATTAAACTATCTTAAGTAAATATATAGTTGATGGGCAAAAATGGTCTTCAATTTTTTTAAGAAGTATACTGCATACATATTTATACCAACTTTATCCTTTATCTTTATTTAATTTTTCTAACAAAATCATTTATATTTAATTACACCAACAGCTTTCTTTTACCATTCTTGTTGACAATTAAATTTTAGAGTAAAAAACCATTGACCTCCCTTCCATTTTACTTAAATTACAGATACTTTCTTTTTTATTTTTAAAATTAACACTTAGTCTAATTTTTAATGCCGTTAAGAATATTATGTTAGGTTTATAGTTAATTTTTTTAATTTGTCATTAAGTAAAAAAATTAAAATTATTAATTTTTTCTTATAATCTAATTGTATATTCTTTCTTTCTCTCTCCAATTTAAAGAACTTTAAATAATTAAGTATAACAATATTCAAATAAAAAAATTTAATATATCTTACTAAAATTATATAAACTAATTTATCTCTTATTATATTAAATTCCTATTTTATTAAGTCTTTTACATACTTGTTTGAAATATTATTTTAGCTGACTTATTTATTTAATTATTTTAATATTACTAAATAAATAATTTTGCAAAATCAAAAAATTAAAATATAAACTAAAAATGTAAAAATATTGTCATTAATTTTTTTGGATGAATTAAATAATTTTTAGATAACATTTATATTTAAAGAGGAAAATTTTAATTAAAAGTATGTAATTTAATAGTTAATTAACAATTGAGTGGATTGAAATGAAATCTTAAAAATGTAATGGAGGTTTGCATTTAATAATTATTGATTTTAATTGATGTTCATTTGGGTTTTAAAAATAAAGATAATATATTCGTACTTAAAGTACAATAGAAAGGAGATTACTATATTTTACTCTAAATTTTGATGCCTAAATTGCATTTATGTAAGTATTTGAATTATGTTAATAGGAAAAAACACACACGCAGTATTTTAAATAGACAAACATACAATAAAAATTCATTTAATAAAATATCAAATTATTGTTTCCATGCCCACTCCAGGCTTTTCTTCTCTCGCTGTGAGAAAGGACCAAAAGGCTAGGTGATTGCGAAGAGAGAGATCGCATCTTGCTACAACGTCACAATATCAGCAAAAAAGCAGATTCATGCTCTCATGCTCGTTTAAAACCATTTATGGTTTGTTATTCTGAGAATTAATATTTTATAAAATATATTTAAAAATAAAAAATAATAATTTTATTTTTTTATTTTTTAAAATAATAATTTCGAAAACACTTAAAATATATTTTTATTATTTTGTTCTTTAAAATAATATTTTTTACTTTTTAAAATATTTTTTAAAAATACGTTATCAAATAAATTTTTATTTTAAAAAATAGAAAATTATTTTTAAAATAGTTTGCCAAACAGACTTGTTTCTTTGCTCTCTGAAAGTTCCTTGACTGGAGTTGATGAAAGATGATGGCGCTTTGGAAGAGGGAGATGGTGGTGACCGACAGGTTAGGAGCAAATATGCCATTTTATAAAAAAATAAAATGATAAATAAGTCACAAAAAACTAAAAAATAATTATCATATTTTGTGACATCTATTTATCATTTATATATTTTAAAGGTATTTTATTTTTATTATACCTTATTTATTTTTGAAGTTGATAATTTGAGTCAAGCCACCTATTCAAAAAAAATTAACGCTAGATTTGATTATATAAATTTTTTAAAGAGGGTAAAATATTTTAGAATTAATTTAAATAAATTTAGTTTAAATTGAGTCCGATTTGAATAAACTCAAACTGTTAAAATTTTTAATTTTATATATGTCAAAAAATTTTTGGTCAAGAATTTTGACTCAAAAAAAGTTGCCGTAAGGAGTGCGAGTTGACCCTTGAAGAAGGGGTTACTTGAGCATGGGGCAAGGGCGTGAGCGTCAAGGCAACGTGACAGAGCCTCTTATTTGCAACATAATATATTATATATATATATATATATATATCTAAGGCCACAATAATTCCCCACATCTAATTAATCACTTTTGCTCTGTTCCCTGCTTCTTACAATTCCCCTTCGAACGCTTTCTTCATACAGCTTCATCTATTCATTTACATATCTATCAAATGGCTGTGCTAAGGACAGGCTTAACTTTCGGATTAGGAACCATGTTTGGGATTGTGATTAGTCGAGCTTTTCATCACCGTCATTTTCCTCATCATCATAAAACTCACCGTTTTTGGCACTGCCCCAAGCAGGCTCAGGCTCACGCCCAAGGCCAAACTCAAGTCGAGGCACAAGCTCAGGCAAAGGAAACTATTGATGATGATCAAGCAATCAAGGTTTAATTTGATGGTGAAACCCAAGGTTTCTGGATTTTATGCGTGTATAAGGATTTGGAGAATTTCATGTATTAGTAGCTGGTTAGGTAGGCAGCTGGAGAGATGTGTTCTTTTTCTTTTTGTAGAAGTACTTTGACTTCTTTTTTTTTTTTGAAATATAATTTTAAATCTTTACATTTTATTATAAATCTTAGCATTTTTTTTAATATTTTAGGTTTTTTATGAACAAAATATAAGGACCTATAACAAAATACAAGCAAAGTGTAGGAATTTAAAGTTATAATTCCTTTCTTTTTGACCCATGGCGTATATGATAATCCTTTTTGAAATACTATTAGGCATTAAATATACTTGCACTTCTTTTAGTGGATATTTGAATCTTAGTTCTTTATGTTAAGAGAGGCTAGTTCTTTTTATCACTAAATTTAAAATTTTTAAATTAAAAAATATAGAGTCAAGGTCTTGAAAGCTAAGACCAGGCTGGTCAAATTAAAGCCCTGAGGTGTAATCTGGCTTTATAAGACCAGCCTGTTTATGCCCTGTCGGTCTTAATTGACACCGCTACATGAAAGTATTTTGATTTTGTAATTGAAGAATCATTACAACATGTTATGTACTTATGTTAATAATCACTATTGTTACATTTTGTTTTTCTCAATAACTTTGTTTGATCTTCCTTTCATCTAATTCTTATTGAGATTTGAGTATTGACAACAACCTACGTCACCTTGATCCTTTGGTTAATCTAACATTTAGGTGCTCTAGCCTTTAATATAAGATTGTAAAGTGAACTAATCTCATACTTATTAAAAAAACATTTGTTATATCTTTAAAATTATGAAAAAATTGCAACCTTTTTTATTTTACAATTATTTGCAATTAGTAATCATAATAAATTATTGTTTAAGAATATAAACCATAATAAATAAAAGAAAATAAAAATAATTATTCTAACTTGCATTGAATCAATGAGGGCATTGGCTCAATTAAACTAGTTTCAATTAAAATGATTTTTTAATATAATATATATGAAAAATAACATAGATAATATATATCTTTATGTTATTATTTCTATATCAAGTTACAAGATAATTTTAAAAATATAAAAAAAATATAACTTTAGATTCATATACTTTACTCGTATTTTGTTATTAGTCCTTGTATTTTTTTCAATAGTTTTGGTCTTTGTATTTTAATTTTTTTTTTATGATTTTAGATTCTTTCATAAACAAAGTGTAATAATTTTGAAATGATCTAAAATAATAAAAAATAAAAATATAAGGATTAAATATATTTAAAAAAATATAATAACTAATAATAAAATATAAGTAAAGTACATAAATTTAAAGTTGTGTTTTTTTTTTTTAAATTATTTTATTATTTTAAAATATAAAATAATTCAATAAAATCCTCTCATCCACGGTCATCATCCCCTCGCGTTGCCCATTAGCCGAAGTGGTGGCGTTAGCGGGAGCGAGACTTTTTTCTGTGCCACATTCATCATACCGTTGCCAGTTGCCCTCCTTCTCCAAAATGGCTGCTCCGTCAGCATTTTCCCGCCTAAATATGCTCCCAAAACCTTCCATTTTCAGAGCAGTCAACAATTTTCAAAGAACCCGACTTCCACCCAAATGGTCATTTCCCAATTCTTCACTCCATAAATCCTCTTCCATGATAGCCTGCCTTTCCTCCTCATCACGTTCTATTCTGACCTCCCTTGACGTTTCAAAGCACGACGGCGATTTGGTCGTTCTGGGAATTGAAACAAGCTGCGACGACACTGCTTCCGCCGTTGTAAGTATTCGGGTCTTCTTCTTTGGGCATACTATGCTTGCTCCCTCAAAGTAAGCCCTAATCACTCAGATTGGTAAATCAATGGTAAAAGCTAACTATTTATTAAAAATGTTAATCCCAGTTAAAACTGATGGCAAAGGCCTAACTTCATGGGTATTTTCTGTCGTACATCAGAGTAGATATGCCAATTTTGTAATTACGCTTTGGTTCAAGGGAAAAATATAGTTTCTCCATCTTCTCATGGCGTGGATTCATTAGTGTAACTGTGTTTTAAGAGGTATTGTTTGTGTTCCTTTCTTTTGTTGATTTATGGTTTCTATTGTGTAGGTGAGAAGCAATGGTGAAATCCTGAGCCAAGTAATATCTTCTCAGGTACTGCATAGGCTGACTTAGTTTTGTAGTTTTTGCGATGAAAATTTTTACCTTTTCCATAACTGTTATCTTAAATTATAGTCCTTTTGAAATGGAAAAAAAGTAGTTTGTTTTTCCACTGGTCATCAAGGAATAAATCAAGAAAGGGAAAATAACAATCAAGGACCCCTAGAGACAAGTAGTTACGCTGCAGGACTAAATGATTCTGATATTACTTTGCAGAACCAAAGCACCTACCTTTGTTGTGAAAAGACAAAAATACCCCTTCATGTGTATATTATCTACTCTTTTATCAACAACTCTCCATTTGGAAGAAAGCAAATGTTATTTACATTTTAATAGCAATTCATTCTTTTATTAACAACTCTAAAAAATTCACTTGGTGGTATAGAGAAACAAGTGTTATGATTTGATGAACAAGTCTCTGTTTGAAGAAAAAGATACAAGTCCCATTTTCATTTTAACAACAACCAATTCCTTTATTAACAACTCCAAAAAATTAACTTGGTAGTAGAGAGGAACAAGTGTTATGATTCGGTGAACAAATCCTTATTTAAGAAAAAAAAAAAAAAGTCCCATTTTTGTTCTAACAACAATCAATTCCTTCATTAACAACTACAAAATGTTAATTTGGTAAAGGAATTGTTATAATTTGGTGAACAAGTCTTCATTCGAGAAAAAACAAGTCTTATTCTCATTTTAACAACAATCAATTCCCTATAAATAATTTTGTTTTTTCACAACAAATTTTAATTACATTTAGGTCCTTTGGTCTTGCAGCGTAATTAATTGTCTCCAGGGGTCCTTGATTGTGATTTTCCTAATCAAGAAATTATGTGGCATAAACTCTAGTGAATTGCTCTTTGATGAATTGTCAACATGCATGCTTCTTGTTATTGGGGTGTACTTTCTCCAGCAGGCTAATGAGAACAAGGCTTCTGCAAACACAGTGATGCTCTAGTCAGCGAGTGCTGTAATGTTGCTTGAAAGTAATGGGAATATAAATTGTACCTGGAGGGAGGGGGTGTACCATCTCATTCAAGCTTCGATGTGACATTTTAAAGTGAAAATATCATTCTGCATATGCTCATCAAGGAAGAACGTGGTGTCAAAAAATTACAAATCTAAATGAAAGGAAAATAGTCTGGCATCACTATTATGAATATTATCCATACTGCTATTTTTTGTTGGTACTAGCAATCCTGGGCAGGCATAAGTTTCATTGTTATTGTCCACTTGGTTTTATATAATGTGGTTTATGTTATTGTTTTTGCCTGCTTATAGACATCTATTTGCATCTGACTTCTATTCACCAAATGAAGGCTGACTTGCTTGTGAAATATGGAGGTGTTGCTCCAAAAATGGCAGAAGAAGCTCACTCACAAGTGATTGATTGGGTATAGTATTCCTTTATTTGTATTTGAGTTTGTTAAATATTTAGTTAGTGTATTGTAAAATGGAAGTCAACAGAAATATGCAAACACATGGGAATGAGAAGCAGGGAAAATTTGAGGCTTTTTCTCATTCTTACTTTGTTTGTCAATGTTTGTTGTTTACATACACAATGAATTGAAAGAATCATGGAAGAAATTGACTTATATCCCTGTTTGAACATATCTCATATAGGTCAGGGGAGAGATATCCCTGCCTTTTCTCACGTGCTACAACTCTACAAACCTTATATGGAGCCACATTTTTCCTATTAATCACCTGCATGAGTTCTTATTTTTCTTCCTTTGTGAATGTTATTCTTTAAAACAGTCAATTGTCTTGGTCTACCTAGTGACTATTTTTGTTGATCCTGTGTAAGTTCCCCAAATGTAGTTCTGGTAGAAGGAAAAGTAATCATTGTGTTACTTTAAGTCCTCAGAATTAAGTCTGCCGATTACTTATTACAGGTTGTGCAAGAAACCCTTGATAAAGCTCATTTGACTGAAAAGGATCTCTCTGCTGTTGCTGTTACTATTGGTCCTGGTTTAAGTCTCTGCCTTCGTGGTAAGACATCATGTCATTTTGGCATATTTCTTTTTACATTCTATTTCTTCCTTTAAAAAGGTAAGTAAGCAAGATAGTACTTGATAAAGCTTATTTGGCTGAAAATGATTTCCATCTCTATGGTTGCTGTTACTTATAATCATTGGTGAAGCTCTGTCTTCATGGTAATACACGATTGAATTTAATTTCCATGTATGTGAATTTACATCATATTGAGTCTAATGAAAGGGTTTGTTGCAAATACGACACCTTCTACAAGAAAAGGCAGTATCACTGTGGAAACAAAATAATTAAAATGCAGGTTAGTCACATTAGATTGCCAAAATTTTCAAACTGAAGAGATCAATAAAATGAATGTATGACACTAGACACTATTTTTTGTTAGTTTGTTTATGCATTAACTTTTAGTAGAGAAACATGCTACTAGTTCTGTACTGCTTGCTTAGTAATGCAAAGAAGTTGGAAAGTTTAGACATTCAGTTCAACTGTGGGTAAGATTTTCTGTTCAGACTTCAATCAATGTCATTGAATATTACGTGCTCATGACAATTCTAGAACTGGCATGACTTTACTATCTAGTCATTCCTGAGTTTTAGAAGAAATTCTTGCTATGAATCATGAATTCCTTTGGTCTACTTGCATGATGCAGTGGGTGTGCAAAAAGCAAGGAGAGTTGCTGGAACCTTTAATTTGCCAATTATTGGCGTACATCACATGGAAGCTCATGCTCTAGTGGCCAGGTAAAGGTATAATGTCTTCATATTTATCATTTATTTTATTGCTCCATATATGATGAGGTGCGCTAGCAAATTACAATGCTTGAATTGAGAACTTAATTGTTACTCCCTTTGGTCCTATTTGCAGGACACTTTCTAGAAATAATTTTTGATCCAAAATATAGGACACCTTGTAATAATTAAATCACTTTTCCAATTTTACCCTTTTTTGATTAGCATGAAGGTATTTAATATAGTTGTATCATTATTTAAAGCTAAGGATAAAAATGAAAATATATTTTATTTTTTAATTATATCAAGAAAACTAATTTTTTTGAGATGTGTGAAATGGTTGAAAGCGTTCTACAATAAGGACTAGAGGGAATGTATGTTAACATGTGTCAGAAGTTGTCTGCTTGTTATCAGTTTTATATGGGAAAATATTATTTTTCTATGAGGCATACATATTTGTTCTTTTTAGGTTAATTGAGCGAGATTTGCAGTTTCCATTCATGGCACTGCTTATTTCTGGTAATTATTCTTTTCTGTTTCATTAAATTTATCTATCATGCTAGTTTTCTTCCTTAGACTTCCTTTAATGGCTGGACTTTTCATTTTGTTTCTTATACTTCTGATCATGCAATCAATTTTCTTGGTTCAGGTGAATGATGTGGCCTTCTTAGATAATGACAAATAAGGGCTGCATGGTAAAATTGCACATCAGGCTGCTAACCTTGTTTTGATGACCTGTAAACATAATATAGGAAATAAAATCACAAGTGCATCAAACATTTTAACCAAAATAAATGCATATGGGTAAGAGAGCAAATGTGAAAGGAAAAGGATTATCATAGCTAAAAAGTGGCAAGGACCAACATGATAACTAATGAATTTGAGTTAGAATATTTTTTGTCTGTAAAAAACAATTTTCTTGTTTTAGCTTCTTCCAAAGGAGAAGATCCATTTTTCTGTTTCTTTCTTGGGGCAGGAATTTAACTCAGAAGCAACTTATTTTCAATTAAGAAACTTGGCCAAACATGACAAAATCTCAAAACATATGCTCCTTTTAAAAAAAGTGTACTTCTACCCTTGAAGAAGCCTGCCAAACAGGTTATACTTAGCAGATTAGAGTCATTTTTTTTTTGTTAGCAATGACATAAGAGGTATTTCCTTGTAATACAAAGATTGTTCTTGTTACATTTTTTTTATTAGTCCAGTCAATTGCTAACATTTTTCCAGACACAGCCGCTATTGGATATATTCTACCGCGTACCATCTCTGGTGATATGCTCTGATATATTTCTGAGAATAATGGAAAATATTGTATTCATGCAATTCCTAGGAGGTCACAATCTACTCATACTTGCTCGTGATCTTGGGCAATACATACAACTTGGTACTACAATAGATGATGCGATTGGAGAGGCATATGACAAAATAGCTAAATGGCTTGGTCTTGATATGAGGAGGAGTGGTGGTCCTGCTATAGAGGAACTTGCTCGGGAGGGTAATGCAGAATCAGTCAGTTTTTCAGTATGTCACATCCTATCATTAGTTTATGACCCATGGTATGCATGGCTAATTTATTGAAGGAGTACTATGCAATTATTTATTTCCTTATCATCTAGTTCTCTAATGAAAACATTGTAAGCTTATATCATTGAACTTGACATTTAAAAGGCCATTTTTAAGAGAGAATAAATAATAGGGCCAATGCAAGTAATGAATGGGAATGGTTTATGTAAATACAGAATGGGAATATAGGTAGGAGTAACTAACTTATACGGAAGTGCATTTGAGTGTTGAGCTGCTCTGGGTTTGTTATATCAAACACAATCTTAAGCAATATATTAAGGTACAAAAACATCAGGGTGCCAGTTTCTACATTTTTTAGGAGTGTTGCGTGGTCTCAACTCTTATTTGATGAATATTGTTTAGTTTCCACTCCACCTTAAACAAAGAATTTAAGCAAGAAAAAAAGTAAACTTAATTGATGTCTAGCTTGTAACATCTTATTGTCAAGTGTCAAAAAACTATGCAACACGTGGATAATATATGTTATAGAGGTGGTATATGCTATACTTTCTTTTCTTATTGGTTGAGAGCTAGATGATGCTTTCTTCCTTCACTAATAATTGATTGATTCGTAAAAAGTAGATTTTTGATCCTTTTCAGAAATTACTATGTCTATGGCTTACCTTGTGGTCAAATAAATTTGTCACTGCCTTGTTTCTAGGTTCCAATGAAGCATCACAAAGATTGTAACTTCTCATATGCTGGTCTGAAAACCCAAGTGAGGCTAGCAATTGAATCTAAAAAGATGTATGTAAATATTTCAAGCTGTGATTATTAATGTCTTTTCTGTACTGAACAAAAAAAATGATGGACTGAGGCCTAGCATGTGTTCTGTGCTTAATTTTGTTACATGGCATTCTGGACAATGTGGTTTTTAGTAGTCCTAATATAAGTTCTTTCTGTTGTGATGGACTGAATGCTTTGAGTATTTTACATATATAAAACATTGCATGCTTTGAGTACTTGTTACTTGGCATTCTGGAAAATGTGTTTTCCTTTTGTTTATATATGAACACTTTGACTCTAATATTACTTATCAAGGCCATGGCTTTTGATAGATGAGAAAATATTACGTGATTTAGCATGTGCATTTAAAGAAGTATCAAGTAATATAATAGTAAAATGTGCGGACAAATTTAGTTTCTTGTCATTTTGCCACCCCACATACTCATAATATGGGCCATACACAGTGATGCGAAAATTCCCATTTCTTCTGCAAGTAGTGAGGACCGAGTTTCTAGAGCTGATATTGCTGCTTCCTTTCAGGTTGGTTATTATGCTTAATAGGTTTTGCAAAGTAAAATGTAAATATCTCTTCCTTTTTGGATTGGTTGACTCCAGTTAATGGACTTATATATGGGGTTTCACTTTTATAATTTCCTTCTTTTTGATGTCCCATTAACTTGGGTGGTTTATCTTCATATCCCTTATTAATCAATTTTTTCTGTATGTCAAGCAGCGGGTTGCAGTATTACATCTTGAGGAAAGATGTGAACGAGCAATACAATGGGCGTTGAAGATGGAGCCTTCTATAAAATACTTGGTAGTTAGAAGTCAACATTTGTTGCTTTGTCAGTCAAACAATGTCAATGCATTAAATTTTCTGTTAATTGTTCACTGGAAAAGTGGAATGCTGTTCATTTTTATACTTTTAACCGCAGGTAGTTTCTGGAGGTGTTGCATCAAATCAATATGTTAGGTCTCGGCTAGATATGGTTGTAAAGAAGAATGGCCTACAACTAGTATGCCCTCCTCCTAGCCTTTGTACTGACAATGGTAATAATTTATTCCTAGTTTTAGTTATAGGCAAGTAGGTAAGTTTTCAATTTGGTCTTTGATCAATATTCGTTTGGATTTCAGTTCTCGAACATTGAAGTGCCTGCAATGTCTCCGTCTTTGTTGACTTGGACCATTTTTGTTTACTTGACACTGACAAGTCATAAAAATTGGGGGGGGGGGGGGAGGGAAATCCTGCAACATTTTAATTATTGAAGGACTAAATTGAAAATCCATCTATTTATCAAGAATTAACATATATTTATCCTCTAGAATCCAGGACTTGTTTGGTAAAAAGAATGAATTGAAATGAATGGGAAATAAAATTAACGGTGATTTTGAAGATAGAAAATGATCTTTATACCGATGCTTTGAAAAATAATAAAAAAAGTATACATTGTTGTACATTGATTATAAAGATATGAAAAAGAAAGAAAGAAAGTGATCTTATTTCCTTAGACAAACCTACGGAATGGAACTTTCCTGAGTAAACTAGTTTGGTTAAGAAAATAAGAGTTTTTAATTTGGTCCAATTAACTTTCTTTATCCAATTGCTCAAAGAGGTGTGCAAATTTGCTGGTTATAACCCACAGCATGCTCATGAACTGACTAGGGGTGATGGTTGCTTGGACTGGCATTGAGCACTTTCGCATGGGAAGATATGACCCTCCTCCTCCTCCACAAGAACCTGAAGACTTTGTGGTAAGTTTTGTAAACTGTGACATTACATGGACTGAGCTACTAGTTGATCAATTGGGACTCTAGTTTTCTGAGGAAGATGTCATGATGTTAAATAATATTAATGTAAAGACAATCTGATGGAATCCTCACTGTTTTTTAAATCACAGCGGTAATGAGATAAGGTTAAAGCAAAAGTTCAGATTAAGCCCTTAACCTGTGGGAGATTGGAAGACATACAGAACTCACTGAGAACAGAACTAAAGTGATAAAGGTAAAGCAAACACAAAGAAACTTCACACAGGCTCCTCGGCATTCTAGAGGCCAGCACTCTCCTATTGTCCCTCAATATCTGGCGCACACTCCTCCCCACCACTATATGCCAGACTTCGTTACTATTTTAACCGACTGCCCTGCCAACTCATCCCTCTTCTTTGTCCTTTTCTTTTTGCTATAAATTTGGGCTGGCATACCAGGCTAAGCACTCTCTACAGACCCATCACAATCTGATTTGACTTAAAAAAGTGTAGCATCAGCCAGCTTCCACAATCCTACCTTATAGTTTGGTTTCCTAGTATGAATCCACTTCTACTTAAACTCAGGATGATCGTTTATATTTAGTTTAGAAATTTGATTGCAACTATGAAGCTTTAAGGCCCATTTGGGTTCTCTCAGTGAAATTCTTTCTTTTGATACAAAGAGAGTGAAATTCTCATTCTCTCACTTTTTTGTAGTGTCTATTACATTATTCTAATGATTGTCCTACAATTTTTATCTTTCTTTTTTCTTTTTGGTCTTTTGGTTAAGATGATAACATAAAAAATCATTTTTCATTGCCCAATCACTTTTTTCATTCTATTTTTAAGGCTCATTTATTTAAGATTAAAAATAAATGATTTTTTAGATGATTTAGAGATTTCATAAGGAGATATTTATTTTGTTGAGATTTTGTAAAAAAGTTGAAATTAATCCTTTATGTTTGGTTATAATAATAAATAGTGATTTTTAGATTTTGTGATATCTTCATGGATCATTGTTTATAAAAAATGATTTATTATTATGTTATTTTAAAATTTTATAATATTTTCATGTATCTTTGTATTTTTATAACATTCTCATCCACTGCATTAGATTACATTTAGAAGTTATTCAAGGCAACTTCTCAAAATAATTATAAATATGCTTTTCTCTCATTTTTTTTTGGTTTTCAAAAGTTTAAACAAATATAATAAAATTAAATTTTTTTTTTTGAAAAAGAATTGATTTTTTCATGAAAAAAAGCTTAAGCAAATGGGCCCTTAATTCTAGCAGTGGGTAAATTTTTTTCCCCTCAATATCTAGGATTCCTTTCAGCTTGAATAGCCATTATTATGCTTGTGTTTTGTCAATCGATATATATATATATATATATTTTATAACATAAATGTAGATAACGTATTTAGAGAGAAACTTCAAAAAGGTAGTAGATGTAAATATGAAAAGAGAGGTCGCCATATAATCACAATCTCGTGTTACCTTCTATCTGAATGCATCAGTACATAAATGCAAAAGATCTGATTTAGTATCTTAGACATCTGGGTAGCAGCTAAACTCTCCATTTTCTTTTCATAACAGTATGATGTACGCCCACGGTGGCCATTAGGAGAAGAGTATGCCGAAGGAAGAAGTGAAGCTCCCTCTGTAAAGAGGGCCCGTGTTCATCCATCTCTGACATCTCTGATACAAGCAGCATCACAATAGTAATCATGACTTGCTTGAGCCTCTATCTTGCTTCAGTCTTCTTTACAAAGAAAATTTATAGCCTCTATCTTGCTTCAGTCATATAATCTATATAGCCGACCCTATCTAGTAGAATAAGGTTTGTTGTTGTTGTTGTTGTATTCAGTTTTCAAAAGATAGTCAGACTCAGACCCAGTCACTGGAATGGATCTAGGATTGAAGTAGTGAGATGAATCTTTGAAATGTTAGCATGCTTATATATTCTAAAACTGGATGTGGGTCTCCGTCATTGCGTATAGTTTTAGAAATGAGTTATATTACTCATGACTTATGAATTGATATGTTGATTTTAGGCTGAAAAGTGTACATGTAATACTGTTTTGTTATTTATTGAAGTTGGTGTTCTTTTGTGCTATGGGATTCATATAATTAGCCTAATCATTTTCTGCTGCTCAACTTATAAACGAGTACAAAAACCAGATTAATTTGTGTGGCTCCATGATTGGCGCTGGAACTAACAGAAAGTTACGTGTAGAACTATAATCTTTAAGTAGAGCATTTAAAGCAAAAATGGAGATTGATATTACAAAGAATTATGATTAAAGAAACCCTCTAACCAGGTCTTCCTGCCAAAACAACACACCATATTAGTGATATAGCAAATGTTTCTAGAGGTGAATTTCTATAGCTTCGCTGCTTTTATTGTAGATGACTCCTTCCGTTGGCTTCTTCATCAATCTCTGAATCTCAAGAAAACAAAACAGTTGCATGGTGAGTAAGGAAATGATAGTTAAGAGGTTGGTTAGGGGCTTTACACACTCCTATTAGCATAAAGAATGAGAGGGGGGGGGGGGGAATAAAACATAAGACACACTATGTAGGAATCAGGAAAGTTTTACTTGAACACAATTCATTCATAAATGATCTTCTACAGATCTTCATGCAGTGTTTTATATATTGAGTATATAATTGACATGTCAAATTGTAGAACTGCATCATTTTAAAACCTATAATTCATTTTGTTATCTGGAATATTAATATCATAATTGATGTACGTAGAACTGCATCATTTTAAAACCTATAAGCCTATTGATTTTATATTTTGTATCTAATTATATCAAGTTTGTATTGAATTAGATGTCATAATTCAGACCATTCAGGCATGATAATGTAATTCCATTGACATTCTTTGAATTTTGTCGAAATTATAGACACATCTTTTACTTTTAAAACCTACACATACGTGCTTTTGCTAAAAAAAGGGCTCGGAAGAAATAAGTCAATCTGCTGACCTTATGTAAGGCATTATACTTTCACAGAAGTAACATGGTTGAGCAGCATGTCAACAATTTCTGCAGAAACCTTTGAAGCCGATGCTCGTAGATCATTGATCTTAGCTTCTGTTTCTTCTTCAAGCCTTTTCACAGTAGATCCAGCGTTCCCACTAGTCTATAAACACATAAGCAAGTAGGGAAAAAAGAAACAGAAAAATAATGATTCAGGTACTGAATTCTTAACCTTACGTGATATTACAACAACAACAACAAGCCTTTATCCCACTAGGTGGGGTCGGTTACATGGATTGCAAGACGTCATTGTGCTCTATCATTTATCAAGCTTTTAGGAATATTATTAATTAAGAGATCGCGTTCAATAACTTCTAAGAGTGTTCTCTTAAACCTTCCTCTACCTCTCTTAATCGGGCTCAAAGTTCTCAAGTAAGAAGCTTATCATACATTTTCTTTAATCATTCACTTGACAGAATACTAATGTACAATATGTTACTTTTAAAGATCAACCTGTGAATTCTTTAATCTTTAGGGTTTGACCATATCCTTGTAAGGTTCGACAGAATTTTATATTGTCGAAGGCCAAATACAACTCTTTTACCCAGGCTTGAAACCGCTATAAAACATAGTGAGCCTTTATGGTTTGACCCTTCAAATAAAATATGCAACGTGCTAAAAAAGACATTATTAAATATAGTGGAATCTGTGTATTTTCATAAAGCTCAAAATGGCTACGCTATCTATATTTTACAAATGGTACAGCACCTTGTGCATTTCACATTTTATATTAACAATACCTCGGAAAGATTCTTTTGGTATTCACTTTCCATGTGGGATTTGTACAGAGCTGCTTCTCTCTCTGCTTCCTCTTTTGCCTGCTTCAATCTTTGAGTTCTCACTGGAGAATTCACACAAACACATGGCATGCATATCACATTTGCTAGGGAAAAGGAAGTAAAACCATGCAGGTTGTGATTCTGATTCATTACAAGTTCTATACTTGTCAACAGATGAATAGAAAATCCAATTGTGGTATGGAATAAATTAATTCAACTGATAAAAAGTAAAGCGTTGAGATTGTAGGATATTATTGAAACACGAAGTTTTTATGATAAAAGGCCATTGAATCTCACAGCTTCTTGCATTGGAAACAATGTGTTGAGCTTCTTGTTCTGCAGTTAACAGCATCTGAATTCCTCCTTGCCCTCTAAAGGGATCCATGGTATCTGGAAAAGGACACAAACATGAAGATGGGATCAAATATATAATTAGTAACAGAACCTATGAAATTAACAAGAGTTAATTATTGATAAACTGTTACCGAACCAAATATTAATCTTTATCCTATCAGAAACGTATTTGAGTAAAATTTCTGATGCCAGCAACGAAATTTCCTGACAGCTATTTGGTCTATGAGAATTCAGAATTTGCAATATAATCAACTGATTGAATTTAACATGGCCAAAAAGGGATTAAGTCAAATGTGGAAGTAAAAAAAATAAAGAAAGAAAGAAAAGTTGGATCATGAAAAGGGTGCTGATTTGAAAAAAGAAATGATTTCATTACTTGAATGAAAAGCTGGTTATGATAAAATGGATAATAATGAGAAGAAGGACGATGCAAGTGTAGTTTGTTGAAGAGTATCCTCCAAAAACTCCTAAATGAGGGGTTTGCGATTGGCTTTGTTATCTACCAAGTCAAATATTACATTTAGAAGCATTTCATTTCATTTGTTTTTTTTTTTTTTTACGTCAATGTAAGATGAATTAACTTTTTAATATATGTTCAAATTATAGGATCATTTATAAATTTTTACCGCCATCCCTTCATATTAAAAATTACATTTCTAAAGTACAATAATAATTACTTCAGACAAAAAAAAAATAATCCTATATTTGTCATTTGTATGGCATGTTTAACAATTATTACGTATGCATTTGGTTAATATAAAATAATTGGAAAATTGCACAATGATTAAATATCTATTACTATTGCAAAAGTGCTATTTCATACAGTTATCTTTCTTAGTTTCCAAAAAAAAAAATTGATAATAATTTATTTAGGAATGATAATATAGTTATTTAGGAATGATAAAATTTTATCCCATATTTGATCCACAACTTGTGCGTATTTTCTTTGTTGCCCCATATTGGAGCTTGAATTATGGGTATTCTATTGTTTTGCATTCGTTAAGAGTTGTTTTGTAATAGACAACATTTTCATTGGTGAGCAACTTATTTCTAAGATTAAGAATGATTTTGGTGTTTGGATTGAAGGACGACAGCAAATTCTGCAACATTATGCCATGCAATTTTTATAAATGATATTTAATATACATAATAATAAGGGATACTAGAATAACGATTACAGGTCTATTAGCTTTTACAATGTTATTTACTTTTTTTCCTCCAAAGTATAATGTAATTAACTTAAGTTGATATTAGAGCATGTTATCTCTCTTAATAGGCTATGAATGCCTCTCTTAATGATTTTGATATTACTCTATAGGACCAAAGTTGTGAAAGGATAAAAATACTTTCATATGATATTATACTCTTTTAACAACTCTTCATGGAAAAAAAAAAATCACATTCACATTTTAACAATAATCAATTCTCTTATTAACAATTTTAAAAATTAACTTGGTAGTAGAGAAAAATAAGTGTTGTGATTTGGTGAACAAATTTCATTTTCATTCGAATAAGAACCAATTTTTTTATTAACAACTCTAAAAAATTAACTTCATAAGATGAATAAGAATTGTAATTCAATGAGCAAGTCTCCATTCAAGAAAAAATAAGTCCCATTTCATTCTAAAACAAAAACAATTCTTTCACTAACAACTACAAAATATTAATTTAGTAAAAGAATTATTATAATCTAAGAACAAGTCTCGATTTGAAAAAAAAAAAAAAGTCTCATTCCTATTTTTAATAATAATCAATTCTCATCACAACAAAAATACATCAAGGGTAGTTTTGTCTTTTCACAACAAATTTTGATTACATTAAATCTTTTGATCCTGCAAAGTAACACAAGAATCATTTCATCTTGCAGCATAATTAATTATTTTTGGGGGTCCTTGATTGTGATTTTCCCAATTCATATTCAAGTAAGTATGTGTTTGAGGATTATGATTTTTATTTCAGGATGATTTAATTTTTTATATTAATTCTTTAATAATGAATTTTTCTACAAACTTTAGGGAAATTATTACATTTCCAGAGGAAAAATGTTATTTAAATAATTCAAATGAATTTTAATGTTATTTAATAAGTTACATTCTTTTTAACTAGACAAATTATGCTGAAAGTTTAAATCTCTACATGGGCTTTTCACTGAATAATTTATATAATAAACACTTCCCCTAATCCAAATTCCAAATGTTTCAAAATGTCAAGGGAAAATGAAAAATAAGGACTCATAAAAAATATCAATATCAAGTTAGGCATATCTTTATAAATAATATATCCCAAATTTAATACTCCTCCCATGTTTTAGTACTAAAATATTTAAAACAACTTAATTTAATATTAATCTTCTTATGAGGTACTTACTCGAGATTCTCCCAAATCTTGAGGCATCCCACCAAGTTCCTCCTTGTGGTGATGAATATGGCAATGGCGGGATATGCATGTTCTATCCACTTGTACCCTTTATGCATCCTCCAATTCGAAGCTTCTTATTTAACCAAATATTTTATCCCAATCAAACCAGTCCCTCAGAAATTTCTATGATCTAACATTGAAATTTAACTCTAACTCATCCATCTTACCTAATCCTCTACATTGACAGAATGTGACTGGACCTTTTTTGTTTTTGGATAAAAGGACCATTTATATTAATCAAAGTCCAAGGTTAAAAGAAGGGGGTGGGGACAATCCCAGAATATTTGTTTGGGAAGTGGCTATTGTTGAAGATAGAAATAAAAACATTGGAAGAAAAAAGAGCCCAAGCGAAAGAGGCCCTGCGTGATGGGACAAACCGGTTTGTTCTTGATGAAGATTGACCCTTTAAATGTTACCACCTAACAGTAGGAGATTGGTGTTAATTGTCGAGACAGTATGTTTTGATTCTCAA